AACCGGTCTGCATGTGGGATCCGAACCCTCGGGCGGGAGCACCGCCGCACTTCCCAAGCGGGCCGGCCCAAGGGATTATGTATTCTTAAAGGGCATCTGGAGAGAGACACTTCAGGGGCGGCAGAGAGGCCTTCTTGGGACTTCTCCAAACCCATCACATAAGCAGTTGTTTAGGTGTCCAGTGTGTCTTGGTCCTGATCCCAGAGCTGACCTGACTCACAGGAAATCTCAAACAGTCAGTTTGGGCTGGGCTGCTTGCTCGGGGACCCCGAATCTGGGTCCTGGACCATACCAAATTCAGCCAGAGTCTTCAAGCTCTTTAGCACTCCTTCCTCCAGGCTTCCAGGCCCCAGCCCAGGTCCTGGCCTTGACTGGGGGGAGCATGTGCATGGTGCCTCTCCCGGTAGGGGGCCACACCATGGCAGACTTCTGCTACCCCACACCACCTGCCCACTTGAGCATGCACCAGCCTCTCAGCCTGGCTCAGGCTCAACCTGCCAGGGAAGGAGCCAGAAAGCTCCCCTGGACTGCTTGGCCTTACTCCGTCCCTGGTGAGCATATTCAGACAGCAAATGGATTCTCCCAGGTCTTGGCCAGCACCTGAGCCTCACTCACTGCTCCCTCCTCTGTGCAATGGAGCAGCAGGACCTATGGGCTGGGGGTCAGGAACTGGGGTCCTGTCCTGGTCTGCTGTCCCCTGTGATGAGCCTGAGGCATGTCACCCTCTCTGAGCCCCAGTCTCCTCTGCAAATGAGGGGGCCATGCACAGTGATCTGGAGAGATAGATAAAGGCTGATTCAGAAGGTCCCTGGAGTAGAGATGGTATTTTCACAGGGTCCCTGGTCTTTGATGTAGGAGCCTCCTGGACCACACTTTGAGGAGGTCTGGACGAATGGGCTCTGTGATTCCACAGCCTCAAGGACCCTCCACTGGGACTGGAGGGAGCATGGCCACTACTGCAGCTGTGATCCTACGTCCTGGCAGCAGAGGTTTCCACAGGATGCCATCATAGGAGCCTCCTGGACCACACTTTGAGGAGGTCTGGACGAATGGGCTCTGTGATTCCACAGCATCAAGGACCCTCCACTGGGACTGGAGGGAGCATGGCCACTACTGCAGCTGTGATCCTACGTCCTGGCAGCAGAGGTTTCCACAGGATGCCATCAGGCAGGGCTCACTTCATCATACAATCACCGAAGCAGCTTCCCAGGCCCTGTAGAAGGCTCAGGGCTCTGAGGAAGCTGCCTGCTGGCTCCGAGGCATGGATTTAACTCAGAACACATGCTCTTCGAACAGTGTCCATCTGTGTGGGGTGGGGCAGAGCGTGGGGAACATCTAAATCTCCTCCTGAGGTTGCTCCTTGACTTCTTTCCACCCCAAAGTTCCTAAGGAAGGCTATAAAATAACTTCCTTCACTTCTGGCCTCAAGGACTTCTGCATGGGCTAGCTCTGCTCTGTGGATGTGTGGGCATGGGGTGGGGTTGGGGGTGGGGAATGAGTCACACAGGGGGGCTGAGGTAGGGATTCCCTCCTGCTCCTGCTATCAAGGCCCCAGTGGTGACACTGCTACAGGTGCTGGCTGTGTCCAGGGGCAAAGCCTGTGCCTGGTGGCTGAGGGAGGGGTGGGTCCAGGACGGGGCCTGGCTCAGTCTTCACCCTAGCAGGGTCTGGTCTGCATCCCCTCATTGGTCTTGCTGACTGTCTCCACAAGGAGGGAGCTTTTCCTTAATGTAACCACAAGCAAGGACCAGAAGAAACTGGTTAAGCCACACCAAGAAAGGGAAAGGGGGACACAATGATGGGATTAATTAATTGTTACAGGCTCTGGATTAATTCTGGAGTTACCTGTGTGACTGAGACCTCTTGGGAAGGAAGCCACTAGAGGTGTCATGTGTACAGTTACAGTGATACCTCATTTTCCCGCCCTGGGCCATGTCTCTCCAGCTATGGGCTTAGGGGGCTGTTTATAACAAAGTACATGGTACACAGTAGGTGCTTAATCATTGCTTGCCCTCTGATTCTAAGGGAACCACTTCTAAACCCCCAAGCTCCTAACAAACTGTCTCACCTCTTTGGCCTCCCTGCCCCACCCCAGGCTTCCTTTGCTCTTTAGCCAAAGTGAGTGACTATAGGCCACACTGCCTGGGGCTGAGCACAGGAGCCCTGGGGCCACATATCCTTCCACAACCACACCTGGCACACTGTGGCATTGCTGTCTGACTTCCCAGGGTACCCCGTGCATGGACTATTGCTGTGGGAGCTGCTGCAAGCATCCAGAGTCAACCCTTGGGATGTGCCCAATGCAGATGGCTGCTGGCTTAGCCTGGGAGTTCCTGGGATTGGTCGGGGAGGAGGAGGAGGAAGCCTGATGCTCCCAGGCTGTGTTGGAATTTGCCTAAAGCAGTGGTTCTCAACCAGGAGTGATTTTGCTGTTCAGGGACATTTGGTAATGTCTGGAGGCATTTTTGGTTGTCCCAGTTGGGAGTGCTACAGCATCTAGTGGGAGAAACTAGGGATGCTACTACAATGCACAGGAGAGCCCCCATAACAAAGGATTATCTGATCCAAACACCAATAGTGCAGGGGTTGAGAAGCCCTGGCCTAGTGTGGCCCAGAGGAAATCTCAGCCCTGCCTTTTAGAGACCTGGCTTGACAGCATTTATCTAAAAAGGTATGTCCAAGGTGCCTAGAAGGAAACCACCCCCCTGGATTTGGAACTGTGGTGTCTCCAGGCCCAAGGTGACCACCAACTGCATCTGCAGGTATGGGGGACACCCCAGCACAGCCAGCAGCAGTGGCCCATCGCAGGTACTCAGTAGGACATGCAGGATGGACAGGCCATAGAGACTGGGGGACAGGGCTGTCCCCCTGCTGTGCGGTGCCAGCAGGAGCTCAGAAAGAAGCATGTTAGTGCCCAGCCTAGTGTTGACATGCCCTTTCTCTAAATCCCTGAAGCCCACCCAGCAGGAGTCCCAAGAGGCCAGATTGAGCTCTGATTCTCACCTCCGTTAATTTCCTCGGGGATATCTCCTGAGGGGCACAGCCTTCCAGAGACCTCTCAGCTCACTCATGTTCCTCACAGGGACACATCAAGCCACACCCCATGGGGATCCCAGCCCACTGTCCTTTATCCTACTGGGGGACTGGAGTGCACGAAGCCCAGAACCTTCCCTGAGTGCCTCGGCTGGCAGTGTCCTAGAAAGGCTGTAGGTTCAGGCCACCCCCCAAACCGGTTCAGGCTGGAGCCCACTCACACCATCGCCCTCAGGGGAGGTGCCACTACTCATGCCACTGACAGCAGCTGTTTCTTAGGCCCAACTGAAAACCCTAGTACTGGAACCTGAGCTCACTTCTGCCTGTCCCTCATGAGGGGGCTGTAGGACAACTGGCTGCCATGGTCATAAGGCCTCCATAAGCAAGAGCCACCAGCCAAGCAACAGGAGGACAGGCAGCCCCAGTGCCCTCCCACTTCCTTCGCTCACTGGCCCATGCCACCAGGGGTCACCCCACCCTCTCATCTGCCACATGGGCAAGTTACTGTCACTGTGGACAGGATGCCATAGGGCACATGAGAAGTAAAAACATGCTCCAATCTGCCTACCAAGAAATGTCACCATTAAGGCTCCCTTCAATCCTTCTTTTCTCACAAGCAAAAGGTGTGTTTGAGGCCAAAAGTTGGCTCTCCTCCTGCTCCTGGGCCCAGGCAAATTCAGTCCTCCAGTCTTCATGTGGCACACACACACAAGAATACATAATTACAGGAATGTGAACCAAAACAACTGCCACAAAAAAAGGGGGGGTGGAGAAAGGAAAAGAGGGAGAGAGGAAAGGAGGAAGGAGGGAAGAGAAAGGAGGGAGGAAAGAAGGGAGGCAAGAGGGAAGCCTCCCCTAGAGAAGGGGTTAGCATGCACATTTCTTCTGCTAGAGGCAGAAGCAGTCCAGGGAGCCTCTCTTCAAGTCCTCAGAGGAGTGCTGGGGCAAGTGAGGTGTGGAGGCAGGGAGAGACACCACCCCCCATGCCGGGCTGGAGCACTCAGCTCTGCTGGGGCTTGGGGGTTGCTGGGCATTGGGGGCAGGGAGGGTCTGCTCTGGGCTTGTGGTTAAGGATGCTGCTTTTTCAGGGGGTTGTCTACCTCCCAATGTGGTCCACCAGACCCCAGAGTTCGAGAGTGTAAGCGGGTGGTACCATAGGCCCCTTGGAACTCCCTGCCTTAAATGTCCTGACTTGCAACCTCTCACTCACACTTGCTAAGCCTGAGGAGGATGCAGACTCAGTTGCTTTAGGGTAGAATCCTCAGCTGAGGCTGAGCTAGTTTCTTCATTATTTTGGTCCTTTATGTTTTCCCTAACCCTGAGATGTCTAAGTGGGGAAGGCCAGGCAGAGCCTGTGTCCCTGACACCCATTCCCCAGCAGATGCCTGCCAGGTCAGGCCGCCTGCCCTCCTGAGAATGACCCCAGAGGAAAGCCCAGCTGCCCTACCTTGCTCTGCGCTGGAGGGCCTGGCTTGCTGCTGCTTGGAGGGGCTGCGGCAGGAGTGGACAGGAACATGCTTCGGAACAGCCTGCGCTTCAGGCTGCTCTGCTGGGTCTTAGGGCTGGGGCTGCCTTCCCCACCTGGCCTGCCTGTGGCCGAGCCCACCAGGCAGGACTGTGGCCGAGCCTCCTCTGAGCCATGCTTAGCAGCCTTCATCCCACGCCTCCCGGGGGCCACGGGGTGTGAGGTGTCTGGTGGGGAACTCTGCAGGCAGGTGCCCAGCTGCAGGCAGCGTTGTGAGGCACCCTGGAAATCAGCAGGGCCCAGGGACTGTGCCTTTGTGGCCAGCCCATTGGGCAGGACCTGTGGGCTCTGCGGCTTGGGCCATGGCATCTGCCTGTGGCCTGCTGGTGTACCCCCGTTACAGCTGAGGTAGAGGCCATGGGGGTCAGTGCGCTCAGACTGGGGGCTCTGGAGGTACATATCTGGGTCGGTGGCCCAGTGCTCATCTCCCAGCAGCCCCAGGGACTGTGCCCGCCGCCGGCTGGTGGGGCTGCGGCCACGTAGGGTGTTGGAGCTGATGACTGACAACTTCTGGATGTCATTGAGCAGCCCTGAGATGTAGCCATCCATTGGCACTGAGCTGCCCCGCACCACTGTCTGCAGGGGGACAAGAAAAGAGCGTGGGTGAGTAGTCTGATCATGGCAGGGAGGGGTGGACCCATGACAATGGTCAGAGAGCCTCCTCGGGGACCTTGGGGAGGAACAACTGAGACCTCCTTCTTGTGTCATCCACCTATTCATGATCTTTTCAGTCATTTACCAAGGCCCGCAGAGGGTCAGGCCGTGCCGGTGCAGGGTGCAGGGAAACAGGGAGGAGGCCCATTGTCAGCCGGCAGACAGGTGAGTAACCACGGGGAGCTGAGGAGCGCTGGGGGAGGGGCTCCACTCTCCAGCTCTACCTGTGGCCTTCGGAATGATCAGCAGAGACCCGCCCAGGAGGCTCCTCCACACATACCACAAACCCTGACTTCAAGTCCTACCAGGCTCTTGGGTCTACCTAACTTGACCCACACGACTAAATAAAGAGCCCCCAAATACTGCATGGGACATACTTATACGTACTAAAAGATTATTCATTATTATCTAAAATTCAAATTAAATTGGGCATCTTGTATTTTTATTGCTAAGTCTGGCAACCCTACCTCCCGGGTCACCAAGGGAGAAGATGAGAGATTGATTTGCAGGGTATCACAGACAGCAATAGCTGATAACTAGGTGGTTCCTCCACGTGCCTTTGGGGTTTTACCAGGCACAGTTTTCTGTGGAGTGGGAGAGGCTCACTGGGCCCCCGTTCCCCCCTGCTCACCCCCCTTACCTTCATGGGCTGGAGCTGCACCCGCGTGATGCGTGAAGGGTCCACCACGGGCTTGGGGCGCCTCAGTGTGTCCAGGATGTTCTGCCATTGCGGGGGGAGGCCCACGAATTTGCCCTCTTTGGGGTCAAAGGAGGTATGGACACGATGCTGGAAGTTCTGAGGGGCTGAGATCTCAGGACGTTTCTTCTTTTTCTTGCGGAACATGGTGCCTGCAAAGGGAGGGTCAAGCTGAGCTTTGGCCCAGGAGCCACAGGGTGGGTGTAGTGGGTGCTGGGGCACCAGGTTCAGGGCTCCCTCCTCCCCCCAGCACAGAGCTCTTGTCCCCAACCTAGGACTTCCCTTCCCCACTCATCCCTCCTTCCTCAGGGAAATGGCTGGCTCCCAGCACAGCGGTCCCAGAAACAACAAAAGCACCATAAATAAGCCAATGCAGACTGTAAACAAGGAAAAGAGGTGTCTGTCTTCTAGTCTGTGCCAAGTCCTCTGCCAAACAGGCAGACTCTGGGGGTGTGTTTTCATAAAATCCAAAGCCCATTACAAATATCATTCCACTGTCAAAGAATTTTGAAAGGGAAAAAGAGAGAGGAAAGCTGGCAAACTCATTTTATGAAGCGAGTATGACCTTGATTCTTAAACCAGATATGAAGAGTGCCAGAAAATGAAAATTTGGGCCAAAAAAAAATCTCATCCATGTGAAAAATCCCAAACAAAACTAGCAAATTGAATCCAACAGTATGTTAGTTTTTTTGTATTTGTTTGTGTTTTGTTTTATCACAATCAACTTGGGTTTGTCCCAAAATGGTTCAAGAGCAGAACACCTGTCATTGTGATGTGCAACACTGATAAAAAGCAACCAGTTGATTCATAGACATGTTTCCCAGTCTGAGACCATTTATCATAGGACCAGGGAACCCCAAAGAGCCATCATGATCACCAGGTGCTTTGCCTCAATTCCAGAAAGGCCCTGAGCCAGGGGAGAGCCTGGGGTGGGTGAGGGGCAGCTACCTCAGGGGTGAGCTCTGCAGAGCTGATGGAGAGGCCACCTCCTTTGGGGCTCTTCTCTCCAGTCTCAGGCTTCTGACTGTACAGAACATCACTTGCAGTAAACCTACACCCTGGCCTTGCTGATTTGGGCTTTGCCTATGTCCTACTGAGCTCCACCAACATCAGGAGTGACATAGGCTTGCCAAGGATAATGTCACTAGATCTGAGGGAGGGAAAGTGGAAATCAGTGGCAGAGTGGCTCTTCCAAAGGGTTGCTCTAGTCTCACCTTCGGGGAGCCCTGGGCCTGGGACCACATGATGGTGGAAGATGGGTCGGGGTACCCACCTGAATACTTTTGGGGTCTGAAGTGGCTTAAACCAGCTCAGTGGGTTCTTATGTCACCTGGAAAGATCATTTCCAGGTTTCAAGAAACAAATGGTAATATGGTTTTTGAATTGAATGTTTGGATCATACATCTACCCAAAGATCTGCAGTGCAGGACTATCTCATTCTCTTTTGGCTCCTGCCCTGGAAACAGCATTTTCCTAGTCATTTTAGCAGGTTTGAGAGGAGGTCGCAGATCTGGGAGGTGGCTGGTGCCCACTCAGAAAGGCAGGGGTCCCCACACAGCCACTGCTTCCCCACTAGGAATTCACCATGTGTGATCAGCCACTTTTCTCGACCGTGAAGTTCAGAAGTCTATCAAACACTCTTGAAAGGCAGAGCCTCATGTACAGGACCCTACAGACCAAGCAGTTTGCAATGAAACACATTTGTTTGAGTTGCAGGTGAGGTGTAAGGAGACTCCCACACATTCGGAGAGACTCTGAACAACTCACCTAAGTGATTTGAGCCTCTGTGTTCTTTATCTATCAAATGGGGTGGGCGAAAGACAGATTGCAGTGTTCAGGCAATAATGAGTGAGCAGATTCCCAGTGAATGGTGGCTGTTTCTCTTGCTGAATTACTTCTCTTTGCATCCTTGTCTCTCAGTTCAGAGTCCACCAGACACTAGCACTTAGGCAGACACAAATCTGGGACTGATGCCCAACTCCTTTCCTCTCAGATTTACCTGTCAAGGGGTCAACCCTGATTGCAGGGTTCTGGGATCTGGGAACCTCACCATATCTCCATTGTGTAGACTCTTTATGGTTTGGTAAAATTTGACTTCCTCCCTCTCAGCCTTTGCCTTTTGCCACAAAAGAGTCTTCATTCAGCAGGTCTATCCTCAGACCCTCTTGGACAAACCCTCCATCCCTGGATTAGTTTAGCTGGCAGTTTCACTCTCCTCCCTTGCTCTGTGATGTCTTCTGGAGTGCAGGAACACACCCTACAACTGAAGAAGAGCCAGCTACTACTTTTTCCCCAGAACATCTCTCTCCCCAACTCCCCTCGTCCCACCTAAGGGCTAGCTTTTGCTGCAGGAATGCATAGGGGAGAGCATCTTCAGCAAAGAGTCTAAAGGACTCTGGGGTCCCCCTCCTGAGTCCACTCTAACAGCAATTCCAGAACAAGTTCTTCCCAGAGGCAGCAGGAAAGGCCTGAGGAGAAAGAAGGACAGCCCAGAGACGGAGGGTCCAGGGGTTGTGTGGTGAGGGTGGGGAGCTGGCAGAAGCAATCAATGAGCTCAGGTCTGGAGGGCAGGGGGTAGGAATTTAGAAACAGAGACAGTCATTTAGCTAGTGGGAAATCCGCAACCTACAGGGAGGCTGCTAGGATTCATCTGAAATGCTGTCAGGCCAACACTGGCTGGGATGACATGACTGTGTAAGTAGAAAATCCAGAAGAATCGACACACAAACTACGGGGATTAAATAAGTGAATTTAGGAGGTCCCTGATTCAAGGTCAATATAAAAAAACTCAACTGAATTTCTACATATCAATAACAAACAGAAAATGAAAACTTAAAGAAGAAACCATTTACCATTTCACATTAAAAATAACAAATACCTATGAATAAATCTAATGAAAGATGTACAAAGTCCTTATATAACCATTTACCATTTCACATTAAAAATAACAAATACCTATGAATAAATCTAATGAAAGATGTGCAAAGTCCTTATATAGAAAAATACAAAACATTATTATTATTATTAGACTGTGTAAGTAGAAAATCCAGAAGAATCGACACACAAACTACGGGGATTAAATAAGTGAATTTAGGAGGTCCCTGATTCAAGGTCAATATAAAAAAACTCAACTGAATTTCTACATATCAATAACAAACAGAAAATGAAAACTTAAAGAAGAAACCATTTACCATTTCACATTAAAAATAACAAATACCTATGAATAAATCTAATGAAAGATGTACAAAGTCCTTATATAGAAAAATACAAAACATTATTAAAGATATTAAAGAATGTTCATGGATCAGAAGATTCAATACTGTAAAGACACCAATTATTCCCAAATTGTTTCAGCCTCAATCAAAATCCCAGCATACTTCTTCCGGTAGAAATGGACAAATTGATTCTAAAATGCACAGAGAAACATAAAGAACCAGGAATAGCCAAGACAGTCTTAAAGAACAAAGTTGAAGGACTATACTAAATAGATATCAAGATTGATTATAAAGCTACAGTAACTAGGGTTGGCCCGGTGGCGCACTGGATAGTGCGCCGCTTGGGAAGCGCGGCGGCGCTCCCGCCCGAGGGTTCGGATCCCACATGCAGACTGGTTCCCGCTCACTGGCTGAGCGAGGCGCGGGAGCAACACTGAGGGTTGCAATCCCGTTGCCGGTCCCCGGTCCGGTACGGGGGCAACACTGAGGGTTGCGATCTGTTGCCGGACACGGAAAAAGACAAAAGACAAAAAATAAATAAATAAATAAATAAAAATAAAGCTACAGTAACTAATATAGCATGGAATGGGTGCAAGGATTGACAAATACACAAATGGAACAGAAGAGAAAATCCCGAAATAGATCCACTCACATGAGGTCACTTGATTATGACACAGGTGACACTACACCATGGTGCAGGAACGAATGAACTTCTCAATAAATATAGCTAAAGCAATCAGATATCCATATGGAAAAAAACAAACTTTGAAGAATGAGTTCATATCATACTCCAAAATTGATTAGAGAGACATCATAAACTTAAATGTGAAAGGTAAAATAATAAAGCTGGTGGGAGTCATGGGGGTGGCAGAGGGGGGACCTGTAGTCTGGCTGTCCCTTCCCCCAGGTCTGGTGTGAGTGACCAACTGGGCCTGAGTTTGGTGGGCTCTCCTAGAGCCCCTGACTTGCTGGGGCCAAAACCTGTCCACACCCATGGGCCCCAGAGACAAAGTAAACTATCAAGGTTTTCTTTGTCCAGAACAGAATTCCTGAGGGCATAGGTTAGGAGTGGGCAATTATTCCTAAAGATTTCACGTATACTAATTTGTCAATGCAATATGAATACAGTGAATATTTGAAGGAAGTACAGCAAAATAATAATAATTGTTGTGTTTGACTGGAGGGGCTACAGGTGATTTCCTCCTACCCCATCTTTCTACTATTCTAAATTTTCTTTAAAGATGATGAATTGCTTTTCTAAAGAAAACAAAGTATTTTTAAATAAGGAGAAGAGTGATCCATGAACACTGAGTGCCTGGACACCTGCCTACCCAAGTGTCCAGAGTTGCCCCAGTCATTGGAAGGAAATCAGCTGGGACACAAACTTCCCTTGCATCTCTCCAGCAAAATAAAAGGGGCCGTCGTTGGGGTGCACCCATCTGCTCAGCCAGAGGTCCTCAATTTGCCATTTCTAGGGCTCCCCCTTTCCACCCAAGCTTCTGAGGGTCCCCGGGGCTGAGGGAGAGTGGTGGCTGCACCAACCGAGAAGCCGCATGTTAAATCAAATCAGGCCATGGCAGCCTTTAAAGCTGCCGTCCCTACTATCTCCACCTCTGCATCCACACTTGATTCACCTAGTAGAGGAGCTTTCCTCAAAGAAGGCAATGCTGAGGAGGAAGGAAGGAGGATGATTTCCCTCACAGAGCCAGTCCCTGCCTTTCCTTCTGCCTAGCTCGTAAGAAATGATGCGAGGGCTGGCTGCTTAGCTCACTTAGGAGAACGTGGTGCTGGTAACACCAAGGTCAAGTGTTCAGATCTCCATATTGGCCACCTGCCAAAAAATGTTTTAAAAAAAGAAAACAGAAGAGAAGAAACAATGTAGGCCTAAGACCCTGATGTAAAAATGGGCAGATGCAGGGCACCTGCTCAGGATCAGG